CTGAGTTCCAGATACAAAAACTCTAATGAATGTTCTTTTGACTTTTTGATGTCAGAGGCAAATTGATGATGAAAAGCCTTATTAATTAATTAATTATTGTTAATGAAATTTGTTTACATCATTTTAAGTATATACAATGCTTGTCCTTTAAGTACAGTATGAGAATACTGTATAATACTTGTCCATTCAGTTTATTTATATATATATTAAAACTACTATTTTTTTTTTTTTTTGGCCTAACAGTGTCTGTGATAAATACATTTTACATCATTTTGATATACGACTACTGTAGTAGTTATTAATACTGTATTTTGTATAAAGAATTAAATAAATAGTATTATTGTTTTTTATCGTTTATTAACATTGTACCAGCATACTTGTAATATATTAGCTTTGGGATCAATCAAGAAAAGAATCCACAAGCAAAGATTTTTTTGTGTATTGAATGTAATAAGGTGAACAGAGTTGCCATGAAGAGTGATATGTTAGAGTAAGATTGTTCTATTAAACTGATATTGTGTTGATGTCATTAGAGGAGTGTTGTGCATATACTGAGGAAAAGTAAGTTGTTGGATTTGGACTTTAAAGTTTTATAAGAATAACAAAACTAATAAGAGTACTGTAAACCCTCTTAATAAGAAACTTTTTAATACTGTACTGGGTACTCCCAATAAGAAACATCTTTTTGCCCGGTATAATTAACGGACTCAGTCGGTAAAGGTGGGGTCGCATGAGTATTTTCCTTGATGAGTACTTGCCAACATTATGTTGCCATCAATACAGTACTGTATACTGACTGATTGATATTGATATATCGCACATAAATTCATATACAGTAGTACCCCGCTTAACGCGGTCAATAAAACCCACAGGGTACCGTGTTAAGTGAAAACCGCGCTAAGTGAACAACAGAACATATGGGATTAATTCCAATAGAAACTGGCCCAACCCCCAAACTCCACTTTTTGACGACACATAACTATGTTGTAGTAAAAATTTTATCTTAACTTTATGATGGTATGAAAAAACAAGTAATATAGAAGAGGTTAGGTTAGGAAAAATAAAGGTTAAGTTAGGAAAACTAAAAGTTATGTTGAACACTTACATTAGTAGAAGAGATGGGTCGGCGTACGGGGATGGAGGCTGGTTCCGAGGCAGAGGGCAGGCTACTGGCCCTCAGGTGAGTCACCATCACTGTCACCCACACTTGTTATGGCCTCCCTGACAAATCCCTCAAAGTCATCTTCACTGTCTCTACCTCTGTCACTATCACTGGCTTGGGCTGGCTGTGGTGGGTTGCGGGCGAAGAACTCGGTTATGCTTTTTTGACGGCTGGTGTTTATGTTGTCTTGATACACTGTGATGTACGGCTCCATAGCCTGCACCAGCCGGGTATGGAAGACTTCATAGCGGTCATCGTCATTGTCGCGGGAAAGGAAGGACTTCATTTTCTCTGCACACTCCATGGCACCCTTAATATCACTATGACTTAAACTTTGTTCTTTGGAGAATGACGCACCTTCTTCCTCCTCTTCACTGACGTGATCTTCTTCCAACATCTCGTCGGCAGTCACTTCAGAATCTCTGATCACCTCCAGGATGTCTTCGTTGGTGGTCTCGGAGAAGCCTTCAGCTGTAATATTGAGCGCAGCTTCTCTGGCAAGGTCCACTGCTACTGCAACAGTCTGAACCTCACCAGTCACAGGTTCACTCCTCCTCTCACCTGGTATGCCATGCAACACATGTCTCCATGCGTGACGAATCGTAGCAATAGACAGCTGATCCCATGCCTCCACCAAGAAGTCTACAGCTTGTTTGACGTTAAACTTCTTCCAAAATTGTTTGACGAGAACTTCTTGAGTCGCCACCTCTTGTTCCTTGTCCTCGTCGCTTTTACTCTCGCTGTCGGTGTCACCCAGCTTACGCAACTCATCCTTGGTGTTGGTAGAGTCGTTCAGGAGCTTGAACTTCTTTGCAGAGTACGCAGCTTTCACATTGCAGATCAACTCCTGGTCCATGGGCTGGATTAATGACGTAGTGTTGGGAGGAAGGAAGACCACTTTTACGTTGGGGTGACGATCCATAAGTAGGGGCGAGTGTCCAGGTGCGTTGTCAAGGAGCAACAAAATGTTGAATGGAACATTCTGTTGCTCGCATAATTTCTTCACGTCAGAAACAAAACAGTCGTCAAACCAGAAGAGGGACAGAGAAGAGGACATCCACGCCTTACGTGAGGTTAGCCAGTGGACATTAAGCTTGTTCATGTCCATATTCTTGTATGCGTGCGGCTTGCGGGCTGTGTGAATCACCGATAACTTTGGTTTACAGGTACCGGAGGCATTGGTGGTAAACAGGACGGTGATGCGTTCCTTCTGCATCTTCCGGCCCCGAATCTTGCTGGCATTCTTTACAATGAAGGTCTTGGACGGTAGCTTTTTCCAGAAAAGACCAGATTCGTCCATGTTAAACACCTGGTCGTCGGTGTACTGTCCTTCCTCCATAATCTCACGTAAGAACGGAGGAAAATCTCTAGCCGCCACACGGTCAGCACTCGCTTCCTCACCACCAATGTTGATGTTGGTGATCTTGTTCCTCTTCTTAAACCTATGCAGCCAACCAGAGGAAGCATTGAAGGGTTTGGGCTCTGCAATTCCCAGCTTACGTGACACTGCTGCATATAGCTCACGTGCGTACTCCTGCACTGAGCGCGTGTCCACCGCCATGTTGCGTCGCGCCTGATGAATCAAATAACTCGCCAGCAAATTTTCCACTTTTGCCAGCACCCTGTTCTGGCAATACCTGATCGTTGAAGCACCTGCAGACTTTGTGATTTTCATGTGCTCTTTGATCTTGGCTGCATCCTTCTTGATAGTGCTAATCGTAGATTCGTTGACACCATGCTGGCACGCGAGATCAACATGCCGTGTTCCTTTCTCCAAATCTTGAATGATCTGGTACTTCACTTCGTAGCTTAGACCACGGCGTGTCTTCTTGGGCTTAGGGTGGCTGGGTCCATGTAAGGAAAGGTCTCTCTCTGGTGGCAGTGGTGGTCCGGCGGAAGCCATTTCACAGAACAATGGGTTCACGTATACAAGGAGTGGCCTGGAGGGATGAAACTGCCGCGGCTAGGTGAAGCGTCGTCTTTCCTCCCTCCCTCCCCCGGGTGGACACGTCATAATACTTTAAGCCAATTACAGCTAGCAGCAGAGGGGGGGTAGGGATGCATGGCCAATCACAGTCTGATACGGCATATGACGTCAGTGATAACGCAACTGAGACATGCACTGCGCAACCTTACAGCGCGGCTTGCCCAACCGGAGGGAGGAGGGAGCAGGCGGGTGGGGCGAATCTAAAAATAGCGCCTCGAGCCGGACACTCGCCGCGTATACGTGGAAAAAACCCGCGTTAAGTGAAAGTTCGGCTCTGGCGAGGCACCGCGTATACGGTAAATCGCGCTAAGCGAAACCCCGTTAAGCGGGGTATTACTGTACAGTACTAAATTATTCACTATAACTGTTAAGAATACCTGGTTTTAGCTCACTTTAATGCCAAATTTAATGTATGTAAAGATATAACTGCTTCAAAACACTAACTTTCTATATATACTGGTAAGTGGAGAAAAATGTTTGAAAAAGAATATTTACCATCAAAGTCACAAACAAATTCCCACTTTTGGAAAAGGGGAGGCTCTTCTTACCATAGTTGGACTGCCCTTAAATTGTCTCAAAACAAATACATAAATGATGGTATGTACTGAGCATTGTAGTACGAAAAAGAAAACAAAGTGCTTAGTATCAAAGAAAAAGAAGAACTTCTCCTAAAACCTAATAAGGAAACTCCGTGGCAAATACTGTATAGTGTAGAAACCACAATTTATGGCTTAAAGAGGAATTACTTAAGTTTTATGCCGATAGTGAATCGGATACAGCCATGTGCAAAAGAAAAGTTTCAGTGAAGCCAATGGATATAGTATGGATATACCTGTATTGAACTATTTTACGAGTATGGTTATTCAAACAGCAGGAGTCACCAAGATTATTTTAGCTGAGATGCTCAAGCTGCAGACAATATGCCAGGTGATTCCAACTTCCAATTCTTCATCTTACCAATTTATCTATTAACACACCAGCTCTTAAGGTAATAATTAGCATATGCTGTATACTGTACATAGAAAATAAGAAGATAGAGCAATACTGAGTACCAGGTAAGTGGATTTTGTGTGTAGTGCTGCATTGTTGATATGAATAAAAGTTAAATGTTAGTTTACCTGAGTTTTTCTATACTGTACAAGGGATATCTGTGTGATACTTGAATTTCAGAGTACATGGTGTATTTATTTTGGAATTAAATTTTATTTCTTGATACTGTAATTCATTCTGTCATGGCTTATTTGGAGATATTCTGCCCTTGCACCAGTTGCATTGTTTCCTGCGGAATAATGATACACTATTGGTGAGTGAGTACAAATAAATACTTGCACAGTACACTACTGAATTTTCTCGTTTATATTTGTCTTGGGAGACTTCCAAGTGATGACAGCAGTGTTGAGTCTCCCACTAAGTAGCAGACTTTGTTACAGTACTAAGGAAAGTTACTGACTTGGTTATGTTTCCATAAATCATTGCCAATAACTTTGTTGGTTTAAGTAGAAATGTTACACAAAATTCAATGTTTTATCTTATGGTGAACAGGGTACAGTATATAGTAAGCAGTCCTTTATGAAAAAATTACTATGCAATCATTAAGGTACTGGTAAACACCTTGCTTAGAACTTAATTCCCTGTAAAAAAATTCATCACACGAACAGAATACAGTTGTTTCTGTGTAGTAATGGGTGTTGGTGGTACAGTACTGTAATGAGCTTGCTTCTCATCATTATGTCCCCAGCCAGGGTCCGATTATTAATAAGTGTGGGTCTACTAAACATTGCAGGTTTTCTCCGGGTACTCCAGTTTTCATTTATATTAACACTGAGTAATGAAGGTCATAATAAAGAAACAAAAATTTAACAATTTTATATGGATATTAAACATGTTAACAACCTAATAATGATTACCTAAGTCATTGATACAAAATTTGCTTTACACAATTCCCTCTGCAAATACTGTACTAGTGTTTTACTGAGACAGTCAGCAGTCAATCCATAACAGCAAAATTTAACTATGGTGGTTGACAGAAATGCATAAAAAAAGTGAAAACATTTATTAAATACTAATTGCCTGAGTTTGTCTCTGAGGGGCAAATCATAGTCTGTCTTTGACTACTCCATCAGCTAACCTATCACATACACGACTTTAATAATTACACTACATCCTCTCTAATATCATCTATAATATCCACTACACTACAACAGTACTACTGTACAGTATCTACTTTACATCCACTCCACTATTATCTCCACTATATATCTGCTTCACTATCCTAAGCCAAAATTAAGTGCACATGCAAAAAATAACAATCAATACCAATTTGCATTCTGTCAAAAACTGTGGTCATGAGTGGGGGTTAGGGTCACTTTTAGGTGGGGGGGGGCGGGGGGGGGGTTCAGACCGCAGCAATTTAGATATGTTTTAAATAAGGATTTTCCACCTTTAGGTTTGGGGGGAGGGGGCTAATCACTGGGGTCAATCCCCTTAATACCTGTACCTAAACAAAATACTGTAAAACTTTTGAGCTGCGTGTGTATCTCTAGCCAGTTTATAAATAGATTGGCTGGGTACCAAGCATTGCCCGGGTTTGTTTTTAAGGGGTAGCTCCTGGTCTATGTCCCTGATGACATTATGCATTACCACCTTTACACAATCTACACTACATCAACCACACTATGCACACTGCACACCATCCAATGTACAGTACTATAAACTTCATTACGTCCTCTCCACTATCTACATTACAGGTACCGGGTACATCAATTTTAAGTTGGGGGTCGTCCCCCACAGGGACAAACTTCCCTGCCTCTCCTCTTTAGATGTGTTTTTAATGAGGGGGTTCCACCTTTGGGACTGGGGGCCAACCACTGGTGAACCTGGATAAGTTTTTGAGGGGTAATTACCATTTACACTACAGCTAACACATTATATACACTAAGTTAACTATCAGCTACACTAAATCCATTACACTAACATTTACACTACAGTATATTAATTATACTACATTCTCTATGATACACTACACTACAGCAATTACACTTTACTATACCCTACATCAACTACACGATCACTTAATTGGGGGACAAAAGCCCACCGAATAAAACTTTCTCAGTTAAAGTGCAAAGTAGGACAAAAGCCCCTCAGTTGAAGTGCAAAATATGTTAGGTTAGGTTAAATTAATTAAGTTAGGTTAGCAGGGGCGGATCCAGGTGAAGGTATTATACTCAGGTGTATTTGTATAGTAAACAGTAATTACTATTGACCTCAGAATATTTCCTAATATCAAGTGCACATGGCTTCAATATGGGCTCAAAATGCCCATAATATTGGCAAGATTAAAAAAAATTAATTATTGGGTGCTTACAGCGCACCCCCCCCCCCCCATCAGCTGGGTGGCCTCAGTGCTCGCCATGTTCCTCCACCAACAACTTCTTGGACCCTCTTCCCTTTTGATATTCCTGGTTAGGTAAGGTATTGCAGTCTAATATAATAACTGTAACATTTTACAGTCAGAGAAGTTTTCAACTTTTAAATAATAAAAAATAAGAATACTGTATTGATTAACAAAAATAGTATGTCATAAGAAGCTTTTGTCCTACATCCATTCATTTTTCATGAAGGGGTTACACCTTTTGAAATGGGGTTCACTCCAAAAATTTTACCTTTTTGGAAACTTCTGTGGTGTAAGCACATCTCCATGCCAAATTGCAGATTTATATCTCCAAAACTGTAACTGAAGACTGCGAACACACACCTTTTTTCTTTTACTTTTTTTAATTTATGGTACTTGCCCTGACAAATTTTGGAGAAAATTTGCTTGCCTATTTTTAATGGGAAAGGGTAAAAAAAAATCTTAAAACATCCAAATCTACAGTATTTTTGTGTATCTACTCATTACACAACAATCCGTGGGAGCTTTTATATAAAAAAATCAGGTCACGTCATTTAGGGAATATACTTATAGAAAGGGGGAGAATCAGCTTTAATACGCTCCTGAACTTTCTTAGCAGGTCAAGTCAGGTCATTGTAGGAACAGGAAAGTCAGGGATCAGCATTAAGTCGTGATATGGCGTCAGATCAAACACACACACACACTCACCTGACAAATTCCTGTCTGGGTATTTTCCTCCCCCAAAATTAACTTGTCTACCGAAAAAGTGCCAGGCACACGGAAATTAAAAACCTCCCAATACCAAACTAACTTGTGCAAGTCTAACAGTATACAGTACATTATTGTCTGAATTCCCTTAATAGGTGGGTTTCTGGGGTTTTTTCCGTTTATACAAAATAAACTTAATACGGTACTGTACAATAAAAATTTCGCACATCATTCTCTTTATATCTATATCCACCAAATGTGCCCTGTAATTAGTTACTGGGGTGGGATGAACACATGAACACTACTACTAATAATAATGACATCTACAGTAAGACAGAAATGCAAATTACATTTTCAATTAATGTTGATACAGAGCATTGAATGTCCCATAATAATAACAGACGGTGGTCCAATTACAGGATCTTAGTGTAGTGGATGCAGTATAGACGATAATGTAGTCAATGTAGTGTAGGTAGTGGAGAGACTGTAATGTAGTGGGTGAACAGGGGCGGATCCAGAAATTTCAAAAAAACAAAAGAGGGGGGTCCAAGAAGTTGTGGGTGGGGAACATGGCGAACACAGTAAGCTCATCCACCAGGGGGGAGCCCCCCCCCCCTTCCCCCGAAAATTAATGAAATCTGACCAGTATTTAATTTTTTTCTTTTTTACCATTATCCTCTTTACCATTGATTGGCTCGTTAGCCGTTTGGGTGATCGATCATGTACCTGTTACGCACTGTTGGCATGCACTGGCTCCTGAATGTATCTGAACCTGGCTCCAGTTAGGCATGGGCACTTTGAGTCAATCTTGATGCACTGTGCACTTGATATTAGGAGATATTCTGAGGGCAACAGTAGTTACTTTTACTATACAAAAAAGCCTGAGTACAATACTGCATTAAAAAGTATTGGAATTTTCTGATGAAAAGGGGGGATCCGGACTCCCAGGACCACCCTAGATCCTCCCTAGTATACAGTAGATGATTGTGTAATGGGTGTACTTCTTACTTTTAACCTCTTCGCCACTGATCGGCTCTTTAGCCGGTTGGGCTGTCGGTCACGTCTCTGTTACGCACTGTTGCCAAGTACTGGTCATGCGCTGTCTACTGGATACATCTGAACCTGTTCCAGTGTTGGTCAAGTCTGGTCTTGAAACAGCTCACACTCGGTGCCGCCACAGCATTCTCTGGCAGGTTGTTCCAAGAGTTCACAAATATCACTCCGAAAACAAGTTTCCTTCAGTTTTCTGGACTTGTGGCTTCTTCAAACCTGAGCTGTGAAAAGTTGTGGGTCACAGTTTTATTTATTAAACACCCCGATATCCACCTAAACTTGCCTGTCCCTACTGTTATCAAACTTAATTTTCTCAAATTAAATATAGTACGGGGGACTTTAGTCGCTTCATAGGTAAAAAAGAAGCATGAGCTCTTTCACAGTTACTACAGTTCGTGGAGTACATTATACATTTAACAGGTTTTTAAAAACATAATTCCAAACCTAGCTGGTTAATAAACTAACCTAATATAAATAAACATTCCTCAAACTAGCCTAACTTTACTGTCAATACCTGTATACACATACCTAATGAATATACAATTCTGAACATATTTCAGTGTTGTAATAAAAATACATTAATTTACTTATCATATTATCATACTTTAAAATGAAAGTATTGTAGTAAGTTAGCTCAACAACAACTCATATTGGAATAAGGAACTTATTTCAGCTCATTGATTGTCATGTTATAAATGATACACGAAAAAGAAGGCTCCAATGCCTTACTATGGTATGCAAAATCATTACATTATCGTTAAGACTAGTACATAAAAGAACTGTACAATGCTGTACTGTACTGGTAATATACTTCGGTGTTGGATTTACAAAAAAAAAAAAATACTGTAGTAAAGTGATAGACTTCTAAGACAAAAGGTTTAGCAATCATTTATGGTTCAGGTCATACAGCAGCAAGATTTGGAGGTAACTCATATCTTGATAGTGTCTTGTTCACTGTACAGTATGTACGTCAGGTTTCATAGTTACTGTTCACAGTACTTATTTTATTAGTCAGCATTACCTCTTCTGAATAAAAATACACAGACTTACAATAGCAACAGAGGTGTTGTCACATCATAAGAGTAGATCTACGCATCAGACTTCGACAAACATACAGTGGTTGACATTTATTCACTGATTTGGAAAGGTGACATTAGACATCCATTATAGGTATCCATTCGTCTTCTCGTTGTGGGCCGAACTCGTGAAGGGTGAGGTCAGTGTTGGTAAGGAGGAACTGAACACGCAGTAGGTCTAGGTCATCTGGATGAACACTCCAGGCGGCCAGGTTACCCAGACTGGTGAGATGAGGACAGTGCTCCATCAGTGCCTCTATGGCGCGCATGGTGAGCTTGTCCGCCACACCAAACCATATCTCTCGAACATTTCGCAGGGAATGGTTCATAAGGCTGGTGATAATTGCGGCATCTGACAGATGACCACACTCGCCCAAGCACAAGTGCTCAACATCTACGCACTGGTTCATCAACAGCTTTACACACAATGTACTTATCTGACTTGTGTATATAAGCAGCTCGCGGATATTGTGGAAAGCAGTGGTATGTGTCACGTCAGAACACACCAACGAGACATTGTGCATCTCAAGACGTTGAAGGTTTGGGCAGAGCTTTCCAAGGTCGAGTAGGTCAACCTGACCGAAAACAGTCAATAAAAACAAACTACGTATTCGTGACCCCATCTTGTTTATCATTATTTCCATATCAGTCCATCTCACTTTGTGTAATTTAATCTCTCTTAAGTCTTTAAACATATCCAAGTAATGAACAGCAGTGTCTTTTGGGCTATCTAGGTATATCGCTTGTAATTTGGGGCAGGCCTTGACTATTGTATGAAATCGACTGCTAGAGGTAACAACATCATGTATATACCGTAGACCAAATTGTTTACCTGGGTAAGTAGTGACAGCAAGCTCAACTGCTGCACCTGTGTGTTCATATGATCCGAGACTCACAAGGCGTGGTAAGGTGAGCAACAGGTAGCACGGTAAAGCGGGAGGAAGGTCCTGGGCCCCGGGCCCGCCAAGGTCTACAATCTGTAGTGATTCTGTAAGTCGGTCCCAGACGATGCGGGACGGATTGTCACACAAGTTCTTTAAGCCCGCCTCGGTGATGGCCCGAGACCCAGATATGTCAAGTTTTTGCAGGCCCTCACAGTACTTCCCCAGGGTGGCCAATATGTCGTCATCACAGCCGTAGCGTAGAGTTAGTCGTCTGATACAAGAGAGTTTGCGCAGTGTCTTAATAACTGCATATTTATGTTCTTCTCGTACCCATATTCCTCGTAGATCAAGTCGCTGGATTCCCGCACCACTTTTAGCCGTTGCTTCCAGCACCATTTCAAAATAAGACTCAGGAAAATTTCCAATGGTTAAATTCCTCACACCTTCTACAAGTAGAAGCTGTATAGCAAGGTATCTGACAATGGCTTCTACGGCCTCGTCACGGGAGAGAATTGTATTAAGTAAATCCTCAAGTATCCCCGGCGTAAGGGAGTTACTGAGAATATCCCTCACTAGTCGTAGACGCACAGACAGTGTAGGAGGACCGTATACATCCCAGTGTTCATCCTGACCGAAGTAAATCTCGTCGAGGATGATAGCACACACATTGTACAGTACTTTATCCTTCGCAAAGGCTTGCAGGGCGTGCACTTGTTTACGAGGTGGCATGGTGACCTTCACTTTCTTACACATAGGTTTATTTATAGTGCATTGTACACAAATCACATCCTTTATGGTTTCTGCATCATGTTTTGATTGGAAATCCAAGAAGAAAAAGTTGTTCTTCAGAATATAAGTGAAATCATTCACCGTCACTATGTGAAGAAGCTGGGAGAAAGGTGGAGAGAAGAGCGAACGTAGCGAGATCTACGGCAGTACTGAAAACAGTATGTGGCGGTGTTGGCACCACAACACGGGTAGAACCTGGCACGATGCCTCCCTCACGAAGCTCGGTTATATCGATAACCAGCTGAAACATTCAGCAGAAAACTGTTCTTGATATTTCACAATGAAAGTTTTGGGGCAAAAAAAATAATTAAAAAAATTAACAGAAATTACGTTAGTATGGCATAAACGGTGACTACGTGTGTCGCTCTCTGTTGCTTACGTTTGTTATAAGAGGACCAAGAATGATTATACCAGTGAATGGCAAATTTGATTGTCCAGTTAAAGAAGATCCTGTGATATAAACAAAGCACAAAATGTGAAAAAGACCTCGGTGTGTATGTTGACAACGAACTGAAGTTCTCGGATCCTTTACTTTTTACTTTACTTTTATCCTCTTCACCACTGATCGGCTCATTAGCCGCTTGGGCGATCGGTCACGTCTGTTACTTTTCTTTTGAGAAGATTAATCAAGCAACTATGCTAGTGGGTCTTAATAAGGGCGTTCAGATAACTAGATGATTTGTTAGCCCCTCTAGAAATTTTTGAAAATTTACCGATTTCAGGGATTTTTTGAGGCTATTTGCTTATGATTCTTTACTTTTATCCTCTGCGCCAATGATCGAGCCGATCACTTAGCCGCCCGCATGGTCGGTCGGTCTTTTTTACTTTTATCCTCTTCACCACCGATCGGCTCGTTAGCCGCGTGGGCGATCGGTCACGTCTCTGTTACGTACTGTTGGCAAGTACTGGGAATGCACCGGCTCCTGGATGTACTTGAACCTGCTCGTGTTGGTCAAGTCTACTTTTACTTTTATCCTTTTCACCTTCCCGGGCCGGCGGAAGTTGTTTGGACACTCGTCCTAGTCCCCTTGGTCCCTGTTCACCTAGCAGCAAAGTAGGTACCTACTGTAAATCGAAAGTTGCGAATACGTATTCAGGGACAAGTTGTTGGAGCTTCCAATAACTTGCTTAGACATAAACCATTGACTCTTCAGGCTTCTACGCCCTTGACTCTTCAGGCTTCTACGCCCTTGACTCTTCAGGCTTCTGACTCTTCAGGCTTCTACGCCCTTGACTCTTCAGGCTTCTACGCCCTTGACTCTTCAGGCTTCTACGCCCTTGACTCTTCAGGCTTCTACGCCCTTGACTCTTTAGGCTTCAGGCTTCTACGCCCTTAACTCAAGAGACATAAGGCAAGCATGAACTTAGCATGATTCCCTGTTGGGCGCTATAAACGCTTCGGCGCTTCACCTTACACAAGGATGTAGGGGGGGGGGGGACCCAATTAAAAAAAAAATCCTTTTTACCACTGATCGGCTCGTTAGCCGCTTGGGCGATCGGCCACGTCTCTGATTACTTTTCCTTTTCTTTTGTCCTCTTCACCAAAAGATCGGCTCGTTAGCCGCTTGGGCGATCGGTCACGTCTCTGTTACGCACTGTTAGCATGTACTGGGCATGCACCGGCTCCTGAATGTACCTGAAACCTGCTCCAGTGTTGGTCAAGTCTTGTCTTGAAAGAGCTCACACTAGGTACCGTCACAACACTTTCTGGGAGATTGTTCCAAGAGTTCATAACTCTCACTCCAAAAAAGTTTGTCCTCACAGTTTTCTGGATTTGCGGCTTCTTCAATCTTGAGCTGTGGCCCCTTGTGGGGCGAGCGTCCGCCAGCTCCAAGTAAGGACACTTGACTGAGTAGTACCCCTTGAGATGCTTATACACCTCAATTTGGTCACCCCTTGTCCGTCTGTAGTATAAATAAGCTAGGCAAGTTCAGGCGCTCCAATCTCTCAGCTGAAGTGCCGAAGGGAAGGCACCAGTCTGGTGGCCCTCCTTTGAACATTTTCAACCAACTCACATTCAGTCTCAAATAGTGCAGTTTCTTCATCCCGTTGGGACATATGATGCGCATCCTTACCGTTGGTACGCCCCAGGTGCATCCTCTTACACTTCGTGACATTGAATCTCAGCAACCATTTCTCCGACCATTTTTGGAGCCCACAGAGGTCCTTCTGCAGCTCTTCACAGTCCGCTTGGTTCTTGATTTCCCGAAATAACTTGGCGTCATCGGCAAACATTTGTATGGAGGAGTGTTCAACGTCAGGCATGTCATTTATGAAACAAACAAACAACAGCGGGCCCAATATACTGCCCTGTGGTACCCCGCCTGTGACAGGTACGGATGATGATTTTGTGCCATTAACCACCACACACTGCTTGCGGTCATGTGGAAAGTCTTCTATCCACGCTAGGACATTTCCCCGAATTCCGTACCCTTCCAGTTTGATTTTAAGCCTTTCATTGGGTACACTGTCGAAATCCTTGTTAAAATCTAGGTATATATTGTCTATATTACTACTCCATTCCAGAATATGTGTCCAAATATCCAATACCTTGAGCAATTGTGTTAAGCAGGAGCGCCCCGGCATAAAACCGTGTTGGCAATCCTTTCAAGGTTGTTTCGCAGTAGATGTTCCATCGTGGCGTCTCTGATAATGCTCTCAAGTTCTTTACATACTATACTGGTCAGGCCCACTGGTCTATAATTATTCATGGATTGACAATCGCCTTTCTAGTAAAAAGTAAAAAGTAAAAAAGATTATAGGACTCACATAAGCCATTTTCCAGTCACCAGGGACTTACTTTGATATTTGCGAAAAACCTTCTTAGGCACCTAGGGCATTGTTAATGATTTTTAATGTACATATTCAGAGAAACTACAGTCTAGAAGCCTCTATGGACGATATTTTCACAATAAACTAAAAAATATGGTCAATGTTGACCTTGTGTAATGCACTGGTACGCAACATATGATATCCTATGAGTTTAAATTGCGGAACATAAAAATATTTCAGTTATATGTAAACCAAAAATACTTTTAGACACCGTTCCTAATGAAAAGCTGCAGCAATTCCTCTTTAGGCTTCTTCACCTTTCGAAATTTCACAAGTGACACCTGAAAGGGATCTATCACGCATGCGCACAGGTGAGACCACCGTAAACAAAGACTTGTCCCAAGGTGTGATTAGGTTTCAGACTTGTGACCGCAATATATCGTAATCTAATCGTACTGTAAAACTAAATTGAAAAAAAAAAGAATAATATCGCTTCCATAAATATTGCAAGAATTTAATACGACCAAATTGATTGTTTAGTTTCATGAGCTGAAGCTGTGAAGTATTATATGAAGGCTTCCGACGCAGGTAAATATTCGTCACATGACTGGATTTCCAGGAACGTGTTTAGTGATGCGCGGGTGTTGGTGGCTCCAGGCGTAGTAACAAGGCAAGATGACCGCCGTGGCCCCCGTGGAACACAGCACAGTACCCAGGGAGCTGCAGTTTAAGGTGCTCGTTATTGGCGAGTTTGGCGTAGGTGAGTTAGCAAGATCATACTGCTTACTAGTTAAGGTGTACAGTATATACTAACGATGTAAAGCAAATGTTTTCGTATTCCAAAATTGCATGATTTCTTACATCTGTCGGAACTGCTGTCGAGAAAGTGTTTATGATAAACCAAAATTGATAAATGTTAAGAGAAGGGACGCCAATTTATTATCCATAGTATTTTGTGTCGGTCATCCAGCGAATTTTAGGTGGGTTAGGTTAGGTTAGGTTGAAATGTTTTTCCGATTTTTTGTTATTGTTTTGAACGGTTCTGACCTTCATTTCTTTCGCAAATACTACTTTCTGTGATTTTTCAACTTCTAAATTGGTGGATGAACGAAACGATAATTTTATTCCAATTCCTATTTGGGGCATGTGATCTCTAGAGTTTATAAATTGGTCAGAGACTTTGCAACAAGAATTTTTGGCGATTTTTCAATCTTGCACCGGTATTTCTCTTGCTGTTATTAATATGTTTTTCATAATGTTTTGACAATTCTAAGACCCTTTTGTAATGTGATATTTCTGCCGGAAATTAAGGATAACCGATATATTAATTTTTCAATATTATTTGATTTGGTCAGTCACAAGTGTCGCCATTTGTTGTTTACGTCTCACAGAGAAGGTCTGACCACCCATCACGCAGTGCTCCGCACCTCCGTGTTGGCTTCTTAAGCGTCTACAGCACATGTGCGGGGGTTGGTGTGGGAGTTTCTTATTGGCTATATTGGGCAAGAGTTTTTTGTCATACCCAATGACAATGCGCGGGTGCGTCGGAAGCGGTGATTTGATTTTTCAGTACCACAATAACCAGATATGGCTGAACAGGTGGAAAGAGCTGTGCCGACATTGTGATCGAGATAATTAACGTCAATTGCAGAGCTTCATCAGAAAAATAGTGTTAGGTTAGGTCAGGTTAGGTTTGGTTTTGTTGGTTTGTTGGTTTTTTATTTATGTGATTTACTCGTAAAAAAAATCATTAAGATTGATGGGGATCTCAAAAACTATTTATTTCCGGCTGAAATGAATATCAAATTCGTTTGAAACTCATCAAATAACACCGGAAAAACATATTTTTAATTTCCAAACAAAGACCGGTGCATTAGTGAAAATTTACCAAATTTTTTAGCAGGTGAAATGAACCAGCCAAATCAAACCTAATCTGTAGTAACCAAAGAATTTTTTTTGTGGGGGGCTAAAACAGTTGTTTACATCTCATATGCACCTACACCACTTATTTTAGATTAGTTCTCTGTTGAAAAAAAATCTTTCTAACCACAAATTTTTGAAGTGCAGGAATTATTATTTTTTTATTTTTATCAATGTAGTTTTTTCCTTCTATAAATAATTTACCTTGTTTACCAAATAGCCACTCACTAGAGGTGGCCATATCAAGGGAAGCAGCCCAGTCCTGTGTACATAAAAACATAAGAAGAACATAAGAAAATAAGGAGTCTGCAATAGGCTGTTTGGGCTGTGCATGGCAGCTCCTGTCGAGAGTTACTACCACTCTCTATCATCCATAAATCTATCTAGCCAACTTTTAAAACTTTCAGCGTTCCAGCACTTACTACAAAGTTGCTAAGTTTGTTCCACTCGTCCACCACCCTATTTGTGAACCATTTCCTTCCTATCCCCCTCCATTGTTCTTGATAATTTTGTTGAGGGCTATATTGAAGCCCAGTACTGTACTGTTCTTGATTCCACAGCTTGAGCTGGTAAACCGATTGATAGGGTTACCACCCTCTGTGTGAAGAAGTATTTCCTTTTATTTGTTTTGCATGATAACTTGGCGAACTTGTAGTTACGTCCCGGGTTCATGTTTTCCACCCCTTTCAGAATTTTTAATGTTTCAATGAGATCTGCCCCATTATGCCTTGTCTGAAGGATTGTTAGGTTTAAGGCCCTCAGTCTACTTGGATAATCGAGATGACTTAATTCCAATCGAGATGACTTAATTCCAGAATCATTTCAGTTGCTGTGTGTTGCATATTTTTTAGTGATGTTAGATCTTTCTGGAGGTAAGGTTTCCATACCTGTATTGTATTCAGTAATCCAGACTGGGATGTGCTTGAGATTTGTACAGTTGAAGGGGCATTTTCCTATTTTTATATTTGAAGGTACTGTATGCTTGGTGCACCTTCAAAGCAGCCCATTTCCAACTTGGCCCATCATAAATAACCAATTTGGCCCATCTTAAATAACCAACTCGGCCCATCTTAAATAACTAGCTCGACCCATCTTAAATAACCAACTCGGCCCATCTTAAATATCCAACTCAGCTCATCTTAAATACCCAACTCAACTCATCTTAAATACCGAGGGTTCAATCGGTATGAAGGACGAATTTTATGAGTATGTTAGTAGAACTTGATCACTGAACCATAATTCACATTCGTAACTTGTTCTTCTCCAGGTCATTTTGAATAAAGTTTGAAATTATTGCTTCCAACAATTTGCCTATAATTGATGTTAAACAATTGCTGTCTTCCAGGATTCTGGTACTACACCCATTTTTAATGACACGTTAAACAAATTTGCTAGGGGCATACTAAGCTCTTCTTTACATTCCTTTGATACTCTGGCAAATATCTCATTGGGACCTAGCGACTTAATAGGCTTTAACTTTATTTGCTTACTAACATCGTTACTTGTCACTACTATCTCGCTTAATCTATTTTTTTCACTGTCTCTATATAGTTTGTGTCTCGGGTATCTTGTTTAATTTTCAGTGGTGAAAACTGTTGAAAATTATCTGTTCAGATTATTACTCATTTCTCTGTTGTTATCAGTTAGCTCGCCGGTATTGATCCAATCTTGTCTGGTGTTTTAGTTTGATACATTTGAAAGAATCCCTTGGGGTTTAACTTTGCCTCCCTTGCTACCTTCAGTTCATTATTCCTCTTTGCTTTTCTTATCTTGGTCTTAACCCTACTGGCCAATACCTTATAATAATCTCGGAGGTAAACTTCACGATTTATTCTCCAACCTATAACCTTCCTTTGGCCAATAATATTCTTTAAATAATTATTTATCTATTTGGGGTCATTGTTTTTTGATCCGAGTGTTCTGTATGGTATGTCCTGCCTTTGTGCATTAAGAAACTCGTTATTTAAATTGTTGTGGAACTCGTCAACCTCAGATCTCGTGTTCAGGTCATCCTCAACCGACATATTTTGTGAGGTAATCTTTGTCAGGTCTCCAGGTAAAGTGAGGTCGCTTTCTGTGGGTACATTGTTGTGGAATGTCAACCTCTGATCTCGTGATCAGGTCATCCTCAACCGTCATATTTCGTCAGGTTATTGTTGTCAAGTCTCCAGGCAAAGTGAGGTCGTCCTCTGTGTTGGTGTTAGATTACAGGATCAGTCACATTCTGAGTCTTGACCATGGCTGACCAATGCTTGGTATGCATGGGCCGAGTTGGACTGTAACCGTATGCTTTATAATACCCAAATCTCTATTTACTTTTCTCACTGCTGCCTTCTTGTTGTGCTGCCTTCAGTGAATAATCTATCACAACACCTAGGTCTTTGTCCTTATTCACAGTATCCAGGAAAGTGTTATTAAGAGAATACAGGGTATATGTGATTAGGGTTGTTGTAACCCTAATGTTATAAAGCATTTGCCAGTCTCGAGACTGTTTGAACAGCTTATGCAGGTCTTTCTGCATTTTTGCCACATCATCTTGACTTACTACCTTCCCAAATATCTTTGTGTAGTCTTCAAACTTGACAAAATGGCATGATATATTTTCATCTACAGAGTATGTCATTTATGTAGATCACAAACAAGGTGGGTCCAAGGATAGAGCCTTGTGGTATTCCACTGAGAACCTTTTTCCATTTAGAATGTGCTCCATTAATACCACTCTTTGTTGCCTGTTGGAAAGTAATACTGTACAGTACCGTACTCTGAGAATCCCCCCAAATTATGGATATTTGCACTTTGTGTAAAAAAAAATCCATTTTGAACACTATTCTATATTCACCTGCAATGTCCTACTAGTTCCATTTTCACTGTTTAAGAGTCAAGTGTTTCTTACACCAAACAAGTGTTTCTCAGTGACCATTCCTTTTACGGACATTTCCAGTAACTGCTATACAGTGTATTTTATGATTTACTGTAGATAAGGTGAACCAACTAACCTACCTATTCTAGGATGGAAGTACTATACAGTACAGTACTGATATATTAGGTAAGGTATGGAAAAGCTGCTGAGAACCATTTATCAACAGTTCACATTAGGTTAGTTTAAGTCAGGTACTGTATATTTGGTTAGTTATGGAAAAGTTGCTGGGAAGTGTTTGTCAACAGTTCAAGTTCTTCAAATGGCATTTAGTGGATGGGGCGAATTTTCGTATGAAGTGGTTATTTGACAGTGCTCCCTGGCCAAATAATCATCGGCTATTTGACTGGGACCTGTTGGAATTGTGTATGATTTTGAATGGGATTCTGTTCAGATTGGGTGTGGGCATTACACTAGTCATTACACTATTATTTAAATATTGAATACTTTATCACTGTCTTCTTTTATCATCTTCTTATACTCCAAGATGGGCATACTGTATATAATGTAGGTCAGATCAACATTTCTTGGAGTAATTTGGCATTTTTTGGGTGCACTTTTGGTCATAAAATAGTTTTATTTCCAATTATGCAAAGCATGACAATGAAGACAGTGGACTTAACGAAAAAATTATGAATAAAAACAATTCAAAGTCTATGTTGGGGTAATGAGTATTTTTGTCAGGTCTGTTTTGGGGTAATGCCTAAAGCTTACTTGGGAATCCGTGGTCACTGTTAATCTGTGCCCTTTTTCCCGGTGTTTCCTTATGCATATGTAACCACTATGTCCACCAGCCACCATTTCTGGGCTTGAATTCTTGTTGTCAGACATATGCATTCTGTGACCAAATACTTCCAGCTACCTTTTCAATTGAATTCTTCCAGCAGCTGTTACATTGTATCAATTATCTGAGATAAGATGAACCAACCTAACCTAATCAAGTCAAACATAACTGGCTTATCTTAAGTACAAGATATTAAATCATTGTCAGGTTAGGTTGATTTATGTTATACAGTGTCAGGTAAATGATGTAATGTGGCAATTGTTGGAGACATTCACTTAGAAGGCCATTTGTGTGGCAACAACACTGTACAGTTTGCCTCAGCCTGTTGATGCAGTATTTTTAATATTGTATAAATTTACAATTGTTGTACATTTTTTTATACGTATTCATCTGATAAACAGGGAAGACAGCTGTGATTCGACGCTACACAGAAGGTCACTTTAGTCCTTACTACAAGCTGACCATTGGTGTGGATTTTGCTGTCAAGACGTTGGACTGGGATGCCAAGACTAAAGTCACTGTCCAGCTGTGGTCTGTAGTAAAATATAATTGTCTCAACCATTCAGTTTGGATTGTGAAAATAAACAGTTTTTAGTGGTAATATTGATTATTAAGAAAATTTATACTGATGCCATTATGTTTTAACTTGCATACCAAGGAAAAGAGTTTGGTTTTAGGTCTTAAAAGGAATCTGTTTTTTGCGTCCTTGCAATTTAGGGTTAGAGAGAGGAAATAATTTGAATTTAATTTATTTTCTAATGTGAAAAGTATTCTAGAATTCATAGAGGTGCCTTGCATTGTTTACATGATCATAATTGTTATAATATGGATTTTGGCATAATTTGTATGTTTTTTTCCTAAATTAATTACATGATTTGAATTTGGAATGAATGCAAAATAACTTAGAGGTTCCAAAAGGTTGCCTTAGCTGCTACATGGAATATTCTATTTATAATTACTGTACTGTGAAAATATAAATATTTTTTTTAAAATATACATACAGTAATAATACAGTAATAAATAAATGTAGCACTCACTGTACATTCCGAGGTGAGCTGATAATATGTAGATGATATTCCAAAAATGTAATGGTCATATTGGTAAATGAAGTAAAAACCCACATTGGGGAAATAAAAGACAAAATCTTGGAGCTGGTATGCTAGGACCCTCTTCAGCTAACTAACAGAACAAAGCAAGGGAGAAAAACATAGAACAAAGGAATCAGGTCACATAACCTGTCTCCTGAGTTGTTTAGGGATAATCTTTTTGATAGTATTCAGGATCAGGTCAGTGGACCCCAGACTTGATTCTGAATATGGCTTTTGTTGTGGTCACGGAAACTTAAAAACTCAATGCATGTACGAGAGGGTTAATTACATTCTTCCTGTTTTTAGGACTTGTATTCATTTTTTGATTGAAACATCCCTAATTGATTGGTTCCTCACATATCTTAATCAATGATAGGTTTCAAGTAACATATTTAAAGGAGACATGTGGTTTTGCTGATACTAACTGCTTTTGCCAATCATGGCATTCTTTACATATGCTGTAGCTTTTCTGAGTGATTCATTCATAATAATGCTATACTGTATGTATGTTTACTACGGAGGGCCCCTCCAGATGCCTCCATATACGAAAACATTTTGTTGCATTTTCATTTGGCTGACTGTACATGGTTCATGGTGTGAGAGAGGATTTAACCCATTTTATCTCCAAAGGGATATATTATCCAGTGCTTATTGGGGCTTTGAGTTTTCTTGAAGTTCCACAGAAACACCATAACGCTGCATAGAAATGGGTAGTCTGAGAATTAAAACCTCACAGCCTTAATAAATGGAAATAATACAAAGTTAACTCTCTTGGGGTACAAGTCTCTTTAATATCTAGAGTCTTCTGGTTTTAGGAGTATAATCCCCTCTTGGGTTAATATATTACTCTGGTGACAAATGTGGATTCTAGTCTCCCAGTAAGTTGCCATTATTGTAGGAACCACTTTGGTGTGTGTTTTACTAGAAAACAGGATTTCCGGTTCAATTGTTCATTTTGTTATGTAGATCCTGTGAAAGCCACATGTAAATTTTACTCATATATTTCAAATTATTGGCTAATTTTTACCCACACTTTTGCCCCATATTGTATGAGATGATGAGGTTTCATTATACTGTACAGTAACCACAGATTCATTCATTTGCAAATAGAAGAATGGGGGACTGTTCATGGGATGATAATATTACAACCTATACAGGGTATTTGTAAAAGACTCAATTTTGAAAAAAACTTTTTGTTACATTACCAATATACTTTCCAGGGACATTGCTGGGCATGAGAGATTTGGTCATATGACCCGTGTATATTACAAATATGCGTAAGTATGTTCATTTTATCAAATTTAGATGTAAGTTAATAGTGTTTGGAGATTACATTTACCATGGTTTACCTTATCAATGATTAGACAAGTGAAAGTAATTGTTAGTTTAATGATAATAATTATTAGTTAAGAACTTACTCTGGAATATCTCTTAACCTTATGTATGTGAATATTTTACTGTATATGATATGGTGTAATAAATAAATAAGTAAATATATATATATATATATATATATATATATATATATATATATATATATATATATATATATATATATATATATATATATATATATATATATATATATATATATATAAATATATATATTGAATTTATTTTACAGGGTGGCAGCTATTGTTGTATTTGACCTCTCAAGACCACCAACCTTTGATGCAGTTCTTAAGGTTGGTATTCCTTTAATCTATTTTATTACTAGTATGTGACGCTAAGTACCCATAGTATGTAATATTTGCATAAAAGAACATATTTTATATTATTTTATTTTTTCTCTTGCAATCCATTCCCACCTCTGCACATGGTGGCCAGAAATCCTAAGAAATATCAGCCTTCTTCACTTGCTACCATTCATTCTCTCTTAATTGTTCATAATGACTATCTAGTTTACCCCTGTTTTATGGGTATATCTCAGGTTTCTCCTCTCATTCCCTTGGCTATAAAATGGATTTTCATAGCTTAATCTTTGCCTTTTTTTTGTAAATATAGCTTTTATCAAAAACGATACCATTTCACATAAAATATTGTACCTGTAAGAGAACATCCAATTACATGTACTGTAAGGTTAATCTGATTACAATAATAATAATTTACAGTGGGTTAGTGACATTCGTGAAAAGGTGACTCTGGGTGATGGCCGTCCTCTACCAGTCCTTTTGTTGGCCAACAAGTGTGACATAGATACTATCAGTATACAGCCAGAAGTCATCTCTAACTTCTGCAAACAACATCGCATTGATGCCTGGTTCCTCACATCAGCCAAAGAAGATATCAATATAGGTATGTTTGCAGTGTTGTTATTGGGTGATCCCCAAAAGAGTGGGTCCAATCATCATCATCACTGTTTTATAACCATTTTTTAAGCTTACACGGGTTAACCATGATTACCCAATAGCATGGAGCTCCCAAACAAACATTCAAAACAGAAATTTCCTGACATTCTTTTCCAGCTCTCACCAGGAATTTGCATGCATCTGGGCCCTGACACCTAGCAAGCAAAACCAATTACAGTACAGTACAGGTATCCCTCGTATAATGATGGGATGCGTTCCTGAAAAAACAATCATTAAACAAAATATGAGTGTGAGGCAGTGAGATACAGTGGATGGGAGGAAGTGACACAACCCTTGCATGGGGGGGGGGGGGACTGACCATGTGGTACAAGAATATTTCCAGTAAGTGATCCTTAAACAAACTATTTTGACATGGTATAATGATGAGGACTCCATTCTTTTATAAAAAAACCCCAAGGAAATGTTGATACCTGAGTCAATAAAATCAGTTCTAATTAAGTTAGATGCATTTTTTTTTCTTTTACCAAATAATCCTGAATAGTTTATCTAAAAGTTTGGTTAAATGAATACAGTATAAGGTATTTAAAAAAAGAAGAGAAAAAATCTAAACGACGCATCTGACACAAACCCGTATTTATTTATGCAAACTGTAATCGTGTCTTGACACTTGTGATGGAGGTGGGTTGGGGGATCATTGGGCCATGTTACTGACCTGACCTGATGCAATGTCAGGTCACCCATTGTTGGGGAGAGGGATTAGTGGGTCTCATGACCTGAAGATGTCTTGAATTAAGACAAAAGCTAAGGTGCTCCAGTGTTTCCCACATCCTGAATGTACAGTTGAGTATACATAACTGTAATCACTTTTTAGATTCTTAACATTATTCTTGGCTGATTTTGTTCTGGTACAGTTATGTACAACACTGCACAACACAAATTGTATGCAAAAGCATCAGCTAGCGAGAGAACAACCTTCTACAGTGGCAGCAGAATATAAACTAAGCAATTCAAGCAGCTAGGCCACCCATGCACCAGGCATGTGGGGGATGCATTGGAGCATGCTGCAATCTCTTGGAACTTCCTGAAAACTCATTCCCAGGCCAAAAACGGAGAGTTTCCTGATTTTTTAAAAAAAAATTCCAGAAAATCCACCTGACTTTTAGCCTCAGAAAATTGTTCCCACAAACCCGGAATTGAGAGAAATTTTCAAGAAAATTTCAGTTCCAACTAAGAGAGATTCCAGCTACCGGAGATATAACTTCTTATTTTCCTTTGAATTTTCATTCATGCTATTTCGTAAGCCTCTTCCAGTTTCCTTCTACTTACCCGTACCATTTTATTGTTTATCTTATTCATAATTTTTTTAGGTTTTCTTCTGTCTTTATTTCTCACCATCTGCAGGCAAATCTAGTCTTTCTCTCCTAACTTGTTCTACAATGGGAACTGAACATGTAATTGTACAGATTTATAATGGTTTAGTGTTCTTTATACATTTTTATCCCTTGCCAGAGTTATATTTATCTTGAAAAATTTTCTACCAAAACTAGGAGATGCTATGAAGTGGCTTGTTGGTCGTATTTTGGAAGTGAGATCCAACTCTCAAGCCCCAATGCCCATAGTCCGAACTCTAGCTCCCGAGGATCCACCGGAGAAGCCTACAACGTATTGCTGCAGGTAATTTTTTAAAGCTTGATATACTGCATAATCTATTTCCATGACGAATGACGTGAATACAAAAGGGAACCAATAGCTTTTTATTACAGGCTGATGAAATAACTTAATTGAAGGTTGCAACTCAAATTTTGACAGTTTGACCTATCTCGAGACATTAATTTAGATTAAACATTAATCAAACTCCACATGTAACTGCTGGTTTTTTAAGTTTGCAATCTGTATCAGGAAGGCATAGGAATAACTATACCAGTGAGCATTCATAGCACTTTCCTCAGCTGGTAGGGCACATTGCAAGAAAATGTTCACCCAGAGAACAAAAGTTTCATTGTGTCATCATTCTCCTACAATCACCCTATAAAATACTCCTCAAACTGACATGAAGACACATACACTTGTTACTCACACCACAATGCACACAGTCACTGTGTCACTTGTCAAATGGTCCAATTTTCCCTCATTAACTCTCATGTAATACTGTACTGTATATTGAAAATTGAATGAAACAAAAAAAATTCTATACTGTATTCTTAAATTTCATATTTAGAATGTTCAAATCTTTTGTAAAATTTATTACAATACTTTGAAAAGTAAATATTCAGTTGACGTTCTTTACTGCACAATATTCATTGTTTTTCAGATGAGGAGTTAAAATGATGTTATTTTGGTGAAGCTGCACAGGTGAAGAGAACCTGATGGTTCCAGTGGCTTTCAGGGCCCACATTCAGGTACTTTTGATCACCAATCATTTTTGACAGCATCAGCAATTTTTCCAAGGAAGTGTGAACCTTCTACTGGAAGTTGCAACTGAGCTGGTTTGGAGAATCTTGAAGACTAAAAGGTTGGGCAGCTGGCAGCTTTTACTGCTATTTGTGATTAAGTTGAGGCAGTTCCCTTATTATCCTCATTTCTTTATTCTGTATGTTTGGTTCATGTAATTTTTTAAGGATGTGTTTGTTGTTTTTATTGCACACTCTAGTCATTACTGAAAATTTTCTTAAAAAAAATTTAAATACCAAAAGTACAGTATTGGAATTATTCTTCCATTAATGATAAGTTAATTTTAATAGAATAGTGCATTCCCTATTGATTTTTTATGTAATTTATACAGTTTACAATGTTCACATTTTATACTTAAGTGCTTTAATTACTGATATTTTAGATTCCTTATTTTTTTAGTGTTTTAGTATTTTTTTATTTGTGTGTTTGCCAAGTGCCTGATCAAAACCTCATCCGTCCATTGTCTAGCCAGTATTGCTGGAAAATATTTGCATTAGCAACATTGCAGTTGCTTGTTTGGTAATTCAAAGCATATGTTGAGAATATGTGCTTTGTGGAAGTTGTGGCACTGACAGCCTTATATGAGGATTGTTTTGTGCCTAGTTTTATGCAGTTGATGAAGTGATATATCAGTAAGCTTCCCCAAAAAGCTTAAGATTTTAAATACTTATATACATGAGTTGTTAAATTTTATGGATGTATCCTGCTGTAAATTTTAAAGTAACATAATACCGAGTAATACTTTAACATTAGCTGAATTTGTATCCTGAGCTGAAATATTTAGTAGTACAATGTAATGATATTAAACAGATATTTATACAGTATATACCATTTGGGAGTAAAATTTCTGAGGGATACATAAAGATGTTTTTTGAGGAGAATGTATATTTTGACTCCATGTGTGTGATTATTTCCAAGAAAATAATCAGGTGGATGTTAATTCCTGTTAGATAACAGATGTCTGGAATGAACCAGATCACTTACCAGTTAATGACAGGTCTCTTTGCATATAACTAGAATCCAATTATATATTTATATATACAGTATATATATACTGTATATATAAAATGATAAAAAAGGGGTTTGGTGTATTTTATTTAATAAAATACATAATAAGCTGTGCTTGCTATTTGAGACAAGGATCTTTAAAGGTGCTGGGGAGACTAATGTAGGCTTTAGGCTTACCTACCATGATAGTTGTCATGGAACTTGTTGATAATTCTTCCTGCCAAGAAAATAAATTTATCATTCAGCATAAAAAGAACTAAAGGGTGATATTTTATATTAATGTTTAATGTTGCTGTTGTAAGAAAATGAAAATATTGCCTGGAAGTTATGTGATTACAAAGGTAACAATCTGCTAATATATAACTTAGTAGATAAATTAATATCCTGTATGGTTAAAACCTGAGAAATATCAGTATCTTGTGGTGGACAAACCTAATGTTTTGTGTAAGTGCACAAAGAATGTAGTCACTGTACATCATAATGTAATTCAGGATACAATTTTATTGCACATTACTTTTAAACAGGAGAATCAAATCAAAATGATCTTTACCATCCTTATAGGATTTTTAAAATATTCAATAACCTAAATAGGTTTTGGTTCAAATAGTGCCTCTGATTTTGGCCTTTTGTAGCAAGTCTTTCAAGAAAGTTTGCTGAAGATTGTACATCTTTATATACAGGTATAGTTGGAAAATATATGGTTAAGCTTTCTTTGAATATTGTAGTTAGAGCATTGTTAAAATGCTTCATCGGAATACATGATTAAATTTATGTTTCTGAAGCAGACATTCATGTTAAGGTTAACATCTGTATGTTTGTATGAAGATCAAGTGCCATTTGTCTTTTGATACTGTTGAGTGTATTTCTTTGTAAATGTCTTGATATTGCTACAGTGGCCTGGTGAAAGATTACCCAAGCTACAGTACATGCTTAGTTGTAAGAGCTACTTGTTGAATGAAGGGCATATTTTTATATAGAGTATTAAATTTTACTGAACTCTGAATAATGTTTCATAGTTGTGCATATCACTGCCTATGATAGTTTTTCTATGTCATATTGAAGTCCCAATATTTCTCAGTGAAAGCAAGTGGCACCAGCTTCAGTTAGCTGAGAGTACTGGTGAACCATTACTAAACGTTCATATAAAATTTCAAAGTTTATTGTAAGTTCATCAACCCTTGAGGGTAGGAAGAGGACCAACATCTGAAATGTTTAAGGAAAATTCTGTAAGCATCACCCACTGCAGTAAAAAAAAAAGTGCTTTAAATTCAGGAATGTTGTAGTCAGCATAATTATTACTGCTGTATACAGGTATAGATATGAATGAATTCAAATAATTGTTATATCTCCTTTAATCATGGTCTTGTATGTGATTGTGTCAAAGGTTACCTTCAATGGACAAAGATCTGCTTGGTAGGAGTAATCATATATAGCATTGTACTAGTACTCTTATAATTAAATGTATTTAGACAAGCGCTGTGAAAAGACTGGGATACAAAAGTGGGCTACGAGCTAAAAATGATGTGGAGAAACATAGCAACTGCTCACTATGAAGATTCACTCTAATATCAGTACAGATCTTGGCTTTTTTTTAAGATACACAGGTCATTAGCTCTACCATAGGTGCTTGCCTGTAGAGAAATTACTTGAATAACTGTTTCATGACAGCTTGTAAATATAAGGCCCTCTTCACTGTGTTGCTATATATCAAGTCAATTATTTCCTCTTATGCATCAGCATTAATCAAGATGTTGTTGAGTCCTATATGAAAACTTTTTACAGCCTCAGAAATCTAGATTATTTAATGAATATATTAGATGACATAGACTTCATGAGTTGGTTGATATGTGCTAACACAAACAATGATATCAAGAACAGTGGAGGAGATCTCCTTCCCTTGGCATGACCACTTCTAGTTTGGACAGTCATTAGGCAAATAAGCTAGGTAGCATAAATATATTAAATTATTGGTTTATTGTAAACAAGAAAATGACTAATATAATACCATAATCATGGAGTCTTGCAGCACTATCTAGTACTTGCCAGTAGATTGCATGTACTACATAGCAGGTGTTATGTGATTGATTCCTAGCAACTTATGTTTTTGCAATCAGGGATGAGAGTACTCAATTCATTGGTAAAATTAAAATATTAAAAAAAACTGCCACACAAGAGCTGGGTGCTGGGTGTTAAAAACTGCTGCAGTGAATGGGTTAATAATGTTTTTAATATAAAAAGATAGTGTGGTTTGTGGACAGTATTTGGCAACAGAGAATTATATAAATATTCCTACTTAAGTGGTATATTGCTCTTTATCGGACGAGGATGATAGTATTATTTTTCATGTATGAAATTTCTGGTTGGACATGTTTCTTCAAAGACATCATAAAAGAAAACTGTTGTTAAAAATTTGATTGGCAAATTATAAATCCTGGAGTTTCATCCTTGAAGATTCACCATTAATGAATCTTGAGGCACCAAAACTTATGGATTTAAATAATTTTTTTTATATTTTTAGCTGTGCAACCGACTCTTAAGATGTAAGAGACATTTTTATTCGGTTAGGAAATTCCCACATGAGAAATGTGTTGATTGCCCTGGCCTACTCTCCATGCTTCTCTTGGAAAACTTAAAAAGCACAAGCAGCTGATTTTTAACAGTGACCATCACTCAAAATTTATAATTCACAATTCATACATCGGATTCTTATGTACAGAGGCATATGGTGTCCCACCACTGAGATATGAATTGTATTTTCATATTATACAGTATATACAGAGTATATATATATAAAGCAATCCCCAAGTTATGAACAGGTTACGTTCCTGGACCCTGTTAATAAGTCGGAACTGTTAATTCCATAGGTTAGGTTAAAACACAACCCTGCCCATATGAAACAACAGTAATATCCCTACATAACAAATAATGTAAATACTGTAAATGAAGTTATGTTAAATAGTATAAGTACTGTAATGTAAAAATGGGATTTTAGTTACAGAATTTTGTGATGAATATATTGGGACCCATTCATAAGTGTGGGTGTTCGTAACTCAGGGACTGCCTGTGTGTGTGTGTGTGTGTGTGTCTATATATATATATATATATATATATATATATATATATATATATATATATATATATATATATATATAGTTAGAGTTGTTATATATATATATATGTTGTTGTTGCTATATACATATTAGTTGTTGTTATATATATATATATATATATACATATATGTTATATATATATATATATATATATATATATATATATATATATATATAGTATAGTATATAGTATATAGCAGTATATATATATATATATATATATATATATATATATATATATATATATATATATATATATATATATATATATATAGTATATATATATATATATATATATATATATATATATATATATATATATATATATATATATATATATATAAGGGCAAAGAACCCCTCAATTTTAAGCGTCAATTGAACCCACGGCCCGCTGCAGAAAAGTGAACAACATAACATATGGGTTTAATTGAAATAGAGACCGGCCAATCTCAAACTCCACTTTTTCAGACACAATACCTACTTTGTAGTAAAAATAACTTCTTAATTTTATGATGGTATGCACACACAATTAATAATTAAGAGAAATATCAATAATATTAGGTTTTTTAACACTTACATTAGTAGAAAAGATGGCTGGGCACACGGGGATGGGGGGTTGGTTCCGAGGCAGAGGGCAGATTATTGGCCCTAACCTGTATCACTTGTATCAATTGTATCACTATCCACCACAGAGGCTTGCAGGGCCTCTTTGTCAAACCCCTCAAAGTCCATATAAGTCCATATCCGCACTATCATTATCACTATCACTGACTTGGGCCGGCTGTGGTGGGTGGTGGGTGAAGAACTCGGTAATGTTTTGATGACTGGGCGACCTTGTGCGCACCCTGCTCGCGCCACTCTCCGCGTAAAAGGGTACACACACCGTGGAAAGTGAGCATTCCGTGTTCGGCAGGGTACCGCTTAAACGTGGAAACGCGTAAAGTGGGACCGCGTAAAGCGAGGGTTGACTGTGTGTGTGTGTGTGTGTGTGTATATATATATATATATATATATATATATATATATATATGTGTATATATATATATATATATATATATATATATATATATATATATATATATATATATATATATATATATATATATATATATATATATATATATATATATATATATATATATATATATATATATATATATATATATATATATATATATATATATATATATATATATATATATATATATATCCCAAGAAATAAGGAGCTCAAAATTGTATTTTTAAATTTGCATTTGACATGGCAAAATTCAGAGTAAATTGTATACAGTATATTATGTCTGGCATCAGTTAATGTTAGTACCCTTGTCATAGCTCAAAGGGCAGTTGTATTAGCAGAACCGTGAGCACAAATTAGGAATCAATATTGTGTATAAAATATTTCTGGGTTTTGGTTTGATTTAATAAAAAGTGTTTACTGTACTGGTTCTGAAAATATTCAGGTACTGAGAAGAATTATATTTAATATAATTTCATGATTTCATTCTAGGAAAATAATTTTTTCCACAAATACTCACGTTACTACTGCATCACTTATACTGTATGTGTATATACTGTATATATATATATATATATATATATATATATATATATATATATATATATATATATATATATATATATATATATATATATATATATATATATATATATATATATATATATATATAATCAACACCTCACCCTGCCAGGATTCGAACCCACGAACTTATAATTGTGAATGGGGAATGCTACCTCTGGGCCACCAGGACACTAAAAGCAGTCCTAGACTCTGTTATATTTCACACAAAGCCTGTTCAACGAGCTTATGGTGCCGTGAACCTCAAATGGGGACCATAGCAGTAGTAACGTGAGTATAACTAAAATAGAATGTAATATTTGAGAAAAAATCTTTCCTAGCTAGATACCAACAAACAGGTGGTTCTCATTACTGCACTGGCCATTTCTAGGGCTTTGTTATCATGCTGTGGTCCCTTTGACTGCTGGGGCTGATCTGACAATTGCCCATCCTTCCCCTCACAACCATTGCCTTCAAAAGTGGGAGATTAGAAGTTGGGGTTGCTTTCTAGAGGCAAATGTAGTAATTAGAGCCAAGCTACATAGTCAGTACTTCTTGCCACCTCTGTGAGTTGCCATCTTTGATTTCAAGGCCAATTGCCAATTTTCATTAATCCCCAGCTGACATTTACCGAAAGCGTTCACATCTCTTCCCTACTCTGCTCAACAAGTAAATTCTAAGTTTCTACTCTATTATGACAATTTTGATATAATTACCTGTAACTTTACTACATTTACAGGTGTTGTCATAAAGATAGGACTGGTAATAATGTGTAAGTGCCTGTTGTTTACACCAGCACTTGTGAATCAACTTAGGGGCAGTAGTAAACACCTTAGTGATCTTGTATTACTAGTGGTGGTTTTAGTCTTTTATGGGTTGATCCTAACATGTGTTGGCTAGTGGTTTTAGGAATGTCATTAGATGGCTGTGAAGGCATGTCTGAAAACCCTCTCGAGGTTTTAAGCTGTTTTGCAACATACACCAAGGGGATTTATGTGCTTGCATGCGATTTTCGCTTAATTTGTATGTAAACCCCCAGGGGATCTGTATGCTAAGACAGATGGATCAGGACAGATAAATGGATGCAGTTTATTTAGGGGGTAACCTTTGAACTCCTCATCTGCACTAAGTCTGAGGTACCCTCCACTGTTGTATTCTTTACCAGGGGGACATCTATGCACTGGAAACTGTTCATTGAGGGGATGCCTCATTAACTGTACAATTTGATATCATGAAGCCAGTATGCTGTGCTCTCCACAATTTGTCAATCATAATACAAAGATTTACATCACTGAATTATAATAATTAAAAAGGTTAAAACATTCATTCATGACGAATCATATTTTACTCAATACAGGAGGTCTTGTTGATGGAGTAGTGTGATGGGTTGTAATTTGATCTGGACTTCTGTTCCGTAGACGGGGATATTGTGAAACAGTGGGTGTAGATAACGTGTCTGAGAAATTTTTTACTTAATCCAAAGTCCACCTATTAGGTCTTGTAGGTGAACAGAACTAATACTTCTAGATTTCCAAATCCAACAGAGGCTAGGTATAAATTGAAGACATATCTTTGATTTTTCTATCTGGCCAAACCGATTTTAATTTCAAACTAGATTCTTTGCTTTCATTTTTTAGACACATTATTAGGAAAACATTTGTGTACATTCAAGGAAGAAGTAATAATTTGTCATCATTAACACTGAAATGTAATTTGCTCTCCATTATTGAGTAATATGGGCACAAGAGGTTTTTAGACAAGTATCCTTCAATTGATCAATGCTCTTCAGTTTCTTTGTTAAACTCAAAGCCTTAAGCTGAGACCAAGTGTTATATAATCAAAGAGAATACCAAACTTTATGTAATGCATGTCCCATTATGACTTAACTTAATCCAAGAGGCAAATCTCTGTCCTCAAGAATGATTACTCTTTTGATTGGAAGCACTTGGATGGGTTTAAAGTAAATTGTAAATATAAATATATAAAGGCAGTCTCTGATTTATGGCAGGGATATGTTCCTAAACCCTGACTGTAAGTCAATTTGTTCATTAGTGAGAACAGTGTTAATTCCATAGTTTAGGTTAGGTTAAAGCACAACCCTGCCCATACAAAACAACATTAATATTCCATACATAACAAATAATGTAAATACTGTAAATAAAGTAATGTTAAATAGTATAGAATAATGGAAATACGTACAGTAAAAAGTGGTATATTTATTACATATTTTTGCAATAAATATACTATTGGGATCCCATTCGTAAGTGCGGATGATAGTAACTCAGGGACTGCCTGTATATTTTTTTGTATTTAAGAACAACAATGCTAGCTGATAAAACTAGTTTACAAAATTCTCTTAACATTGAATGAAGAATTTCCCTAAACAGATGTACAAAAGTTCCGTTCCTACAAAATTTTAAATATGTTATTGAGCATATAGTCCTGGATTGTGTCAATGATTTCTCCTACCTGGGTGATATTACTAAAGCTAGCTCATTTGTAGGAGTCGGAAATGGCAGGAAGAAATTTAGATACCTGTTGTTATTTTTAACATTGAGAGGACCTCATCTTTGTTTTAAGGAAAAGTTGTATGAAAATTGCATAAAAAATAAGATGTGTGTTGTTGTATGACATTGAAACATGGGCCTCTAAAGAGGATGACATACAAAGACTTGAATTAATTGAAATGAAAAGGGTGAGATGATTGTGTAATGTGACATTGAGCAATAGGAGTTAAGAGGGCAGCTGGGTACTGAGAGTATGAGTGAGATTTTGTATTGAGATAAATTGAGATGATTCAGGCATGTGGAAAGA